TTAGGTTCATTCGTACGTACATTTGTTATCTCATTTTTATCGAAAATAATTATTAGATGATTCTATTTCTGGACGATCTCGAATCATGTTTCTTCTTCTTTCTTTTCTTTTTTTTTTTCTTCTTTTTTTTTTTTATCTCTTCCGATTTTCATTTTTATTTTATATTCTTTCATTATAATCCAATATCAAATTGATACGTTCTATTATTATTATTATTATTATTATTAATAATTATTAAAATATCTATCACTTTAAATTTATCTAGAAAATTTAAGTAAAAAAAAAAAAAAAAAGAAGAAAGTCTTCCTTTATTTTTTTCTTTCTGTTGCATTGAAATAAATTTGCACGAACAAATTATGTTTGTTAATAATAATAATAATAATAAATAAAATGTGAAATGATCACGTTTAAATAATAAACAAGAATAAAATATGAGGTGTGTGTATGTGTGTTGTAACTGATAACGAGCATTGATTGTTTCGTTAAATGAATTAAAATTCAGGCACGCACGGAACATACAAACTTTGTGATTTTTGAATTAGGAAAAAAAAACTACAATCTTTTGGTATCAAGGCCAAAAAAAAAAATGATAAAAGAATGATATCATTTTTAGTGTCACTCCTATGTTTCACACTTTACATTTTTTATTTATTAATTTAATATCTATAATAAATTTTATTATACTTAATATAAATTAAGATTGTGTATATTTGAAATTTTTAATTATTTAAAATTAAATACACAACTTAATTATTATATTAAAAATTATTATCTATAAAATAAATATATATATATATATATATATATATATAAATGTTTATTTAATTATATAAATACAAATATAATTAATTTATTAATTAAATAAATTTATTAATTATTAATAAATTATATAAAATTAAATTTAAATATAATATAAATATATACATATAATATATAATAATATATTAATATTTACTGAGTAAATAATTTTCAAACAAATAGAAAAAAATCAATAACACAAATATATATATATATATATATCTACAGCACACATATACATATTAAATATAATAACACTAATAATCTATTTTAAATTGACAAATAGAATATCTTTGATAATATTATCGAAAAATAAGTTTTCCTATTTGAATTTTTTTTTCAATTTTGAATTGAATGTATAATAGAACAACATCATGGTGTGTTATCTTTAGAAAGTTTTCTCGATAAACGTTCGTGTATATCAGTTAGCTTATGTTCAAAGGTGTCGATACCTTTAAAGTGATCACACAATAGTGTTCTTCATGATCTACCGATTGCATCCAGTTGCTCCCTATAGTCTCAAGGTCTTTTGTGTGCTTTTACTATACTCCTATCTTCTTCTTCTTCTTTCATTATACACACACATTGTACACCTCTTCTCTTCAATTTATTTTCATTTTATCGTACAATCGAGTAATCGAGACGTAAAAACGTGTCTTTTAAGCATCCTCACTTCTTTATTTGTTAAACAATTTATTTAGCTTTCAATTGTTCATAGAAATTTTTTTTTATTTTTTTTTATTGAGGTTAGGTGCCTTATTTTTGTGTGCCAAAAATTAGTTCGAAAAAAAACAACTAGGTTTCATTGTAAACTTGCATTTATTTATTTATYGTTAAATATATTTTTGTTTATTTATTTATTTCTAATTTATTATTTATACAGTTATTTATTTAATTAATTTATCTTTTAATTAGTCATCCAATTTTTTTTTGTTTTTGAGGTTAGAATCCTAATTACTTTGCCACAAGTCAATTGGAAAAAAAGGGTTTCATTCTTAAGTAGCATTTATTTTATTTATTTGTTTATACGAGTTTTATGTTAATTTGTAATACGAAATACATTTGTTTTTTGTTTAGTTATGTTTGATTTGTATTTTTTTTTTTTAGGGGGAAGTTTTTCTTGGTTATGTTCGTTTTCATGTAACAAAATACAAGTTGTACATAAGTATAATAACATTTGGGTATATTCTTGTTGAAGAGAGAATCCACTTAATTTATCTCCGTTTTCTACTATGATAACAAAGCTTTCGTATACTCGAAAATACACTGCTTTATTTTAACCGAAAGAAAGTAGGTCACTTGGTGTCCATTTTTAATGAACCAGGAACAACCATCATCACTACCACTATCCTGTGTTTCATGTATTTAAGCATCTTGGATTATTAATCAAGATTTTGATGACACTTGAGAGCAATTGTTCAGAACAATGACATGTCATTATTATATAAATCTTTCATTTTTATTTATTATATTTTACTGTATATATAAAAATGTAGTGTTACATTGTTGATTTCTCATGAATTTCGAAATTATTGAATGAAATTTGTTTTATTTTGTTTGATTCTTTTCAATTTAGTACACAGGATAGTTTTTATCGTGATTTATTTTGTATTTTTTTATTGTTAATTGAAGGATGTAAATATTTAGAGGTTATTTAGGTGTTTAGGTAGTGTAATTTTGCAATAGATGGGCACTGTATTAGAATTCGATTATTTGGCTATATTCACGTCGTACGTTTCTTTTTTTCTTCTTCAGATTTTTCGTGTATATTTTATCTTTTAATTGTGATATTATTTTGTTTATCATGATAATTAACTAAATAGTTTGAAAATTAGATTTTTTTTTTTTTTACATTTTTATTGATATTAATAAAAAAACAAAAAAAAAACAAAAAAACAAATACAATATTATTTGAAATACATAAATAATTCGTGAAATTCTAAGAAACGTGTATAAATAAATTTGATAGATTTTTGCAGGTGGGTCAGATATTAAACTATGATATACAGTTAATCTTTTTCCATAGTTATAAATAATTCGTTGATTATAGTAAAATTCTTGGCACAATTTTCCAACGATAGTTGAAAAGTTAAGAACCCTAAAATACACGTTGCATTTCATTTCCAATTATTTGTCTCTCTCCTATATTCATCGTCATCATCATTAGGCTCATATTTATAAGCTTAATTAAATTAGTATTAAATGAATTGATTTGAAAATTTGTGTTTGTTAACTGGTGTCAAATGATTGTTACAAAAATGATGATTACAAATACGGAAGGAAGAAGGAACAAGATGATTGGTTAAAAATAGTAATAGTAAAAGATGCTGACGATGATGATGATGATGATGATGACGATGAAGAAGAAGAAGTAGACGTGAGGAGGAGGAGGAGGAGGTGGAGGTGGAGGAGGTGGTGGAGGATAGTTGGTTACTACTATGTGTATCTCAAGATAAAAACCACGTGACTCTGTGGCCAACGTTAAATCCTTAAATTGATAGCAACTCATACACAATGAACTTCATTTATAATCGCCGAGTCTAACTCGAGCCAACAGCATACAACTCAGGCCGGTTACGAAATGTCAGAAGCCGGATATCTTCTCGTTACTTCTAAAATAATCAAAAAATGTATCCTCAAACTGAGCTAGAAAATCTTAGGAAATTTCTAATTTGTGATTATGTCAGACAGAAAATATTTATTATTAAATAATTTAATGGTTCATTTGAGATATACATCCTTAGATTATATCAATTTTGAATGAAATAATTGTCAAATAATCCTAGGAAGAAATTGAAAATAGGGTTAGGTTTAGGTTAATTTATTTCACGATTTATTTTTTTTATTTAAAGCAATGGGGTGTTATTTTTTGCTTTAAATAAAAATACAAAATTAAGTAATCCTCGAAAGAAATTTAAAATATTATTTTAGGTTAAGTTCAATTATTGCTCGATTTATTATATTATATTAATTTACATAAACTAATTATTATCTGGCTACCCCTTTTCTCTCTCTCTCTCTCTCTCTAAAATAAAATAATAAAATAAAGTTTAAACATTGATATTTATTTATAAGACAATCAAACAACTAACCAAACAAACGAACAAACAATCCACCAACTAACCAACCTACCAACCAACTAAACAAATCAAACAAATTCTAATATAATTATTTGTAATAACAAATGTATATATAAACAAATAATAATATTAAATTAATTTGTGTTTATTTTCAGTATACAAAATTAGATCCGAAAAAGTATCATTCGCCGCATGGGTGCCTGGGTTGATGATCGTTCAGCGGAGGAGGAGGAGAAGAAGGTGGTGGTCCTGAAAAATCAAAATATCATCAAAACAACAAACTATCAGTTTAATAATAATAATAATAAACAACAATATAAAGATGACCAATTAAAAAGGACTTACCAAATTTTTGAAGGTGTTTGTTGCAATGGTGTACACTGGACGATTGTGGCGAATACGAAGGGACAGTTGCGTCCAACAGACATTGACAACAACAACAACAATATCATCATCATCATCATCATCGTCGTCGTTGTCGTCATCTTCGTCATCATCGTATTCTCGTATTACGTCGCGTACGCGTCCGCGTCCGCGTTGTTGTTGTTGCCGTTGCGTCGTCAGTTTAACAAGCAGTTGTACGAGTGGCCATGTTTACCGTTGTTTAAATCAAGGACGAAACTAAATCGGTATTATTATTAAATTTAAATCTGACTTCTGAAATTGTTTCCTGAGTTTGTGCAAAAAAAAAAAAAAGATTTTTCAATAGATTTTTTTATTTTTATCTTTTGTTTTTTGTTTTCCTTCTTTTTTTTTTTTAATTATTTATACGAAATAATACTAAAACCATAATCTAATCGAAAATACAAAACTTCGTCAAGATTTTGCAGAGTTTGAAATACAAGAATAAGAAGAAGTGGGATCACGCAATTTTCCTCATCTTTTTTTACATTTTACTTTAAACAAAATTCACGATCAATTAAAAATAATAATAATAATAATAATAAGAGGAATTGCAAGAATAAACATCGAAGTTAAGTGTGTGAGTGAGTTTAAGTTAGTTTTAGTGTTCTGCTGCTGCTGATGATCATTGGATGTCTTTAGAAAAATCACACAATTGGGATATAAATTGAATTGATCAAGAAGAAGAAAAAAAAGTTTCTTACGTTTTCTTACAGTGTGTGTGTGAGTGTGTGTTAGTCAATATGGCCGACTGGGTCAAGTTCAAGAGCAGGATGAAAAATATGTTTGGTAATATCGGTGTGTCAGATTCGGATAATAAAAATCGACAAATCGTAATTGATATTGCCGATGATAATAAAAAGTTTGGAAAATGTTTGGATGAAAGGATAGACAACAAGGACGATGGTGGTGGTCCTGGGGGTGGACAGGAATTGGTTGAAGTATTTTTGGAGAATAATACTTCAAACGTTGTTAATAATTTTAATGATAATAATAGCGAAGCTAAAAGGCTCGTGGATAAAAGCAACGATCAATGGTTAGAACCAGGATCCAGGATACGTCAAGAAGCTAAAGATGAATTATTGACGGATAATACTGCGAGTAATTCACCAAAAAGACCGATTAGTTTTTACAAGGATGATACTTCAAGTCCGCAAAAAATGAAAAAAAATGTATTCAGCGAAAGGAATACGAATTTTGTGTCACCAACGAGAATATCGTCCAAGGGTGATTGTCAGTCACCTACAGAAAAAAGTACGGAAAGATTGGTCAATGGTAAACCACCTAAGGAAGAAAAACAACAACATCATGTACAATTTAACAAAGATTCTAAAAAACAACAAAATAATTTATCGAATGGCAAACAAAAACAGCAACAACAGCCACAACATCCTAGTCCATCAATTTCAACATCAACAACCAACAGTTCAGAGGACAATTCAACGTTAGATCAATTTTGTGAAGCCAGACCACCTGACGGTGGTTGGGGTTGGGTCGTAGTTGCTGCATCTTTCATGGTCAATCTTATTGCCGATGGTATTACATTTTCGTTCGGTGTTATTTATGTGGAATTTTTAAATTATTTCGGTGCTGGTAAATCGAAAACAGCATGGATTGGTAGCCTTTTCATGGCAATGCCGTTACTGTCAGGACCAATTGCAAGTTTTCTTACGGATCGTTATGGTTGTAGAAGAGTATCAGTAGCTGGTAGTGTGTTAGCAACTGTTGGTTTTATCGTCAGTTCGTTAACCCAATCAATGGGTTTATTGATATTCACGTTTGGGGTGGTATCAGGTTTTGGATTGTCATTGTGTTTCGTTGCTGCTGTCGTTATCGTGGCATATTATTTTGATAAGAAGAGATCATTCGCTACGGGATTGTCAGTTTGTGGTAGCGGCATTGGTACTTTTATATTTGCTCCGTTAACCCAATATCTTTTGGATGAATTTGGTTGGAGAGGAACCATGCTGATATTATCCGGTTTGATTCTAAATTTGGCCGTCTGTGGTTTCCTCATGCGAGATCCTGAATGGACAACAACCAGAGCTAAAGCTAAAACTGAAGAGAGGAGGAAAAATCGTGAGAAGAAAAGATCAAGAATGCAAAGTTCAAGTGCCGATTCATTTTCCGCAAGTAGTTCAGCCAATACTACGACTCAAACGCCACACGGTGACACTAAAAGAAGTTTTGCATCAGCCAATGCTATGATCATTGAAAATTTTCGTAACCAAGAGGAAGAGAACATCAGTGACGATAAATTATTCTCAAGTTTGGTCAGTTTACCGACTTTCGTTAAGAACGGTGAAAAAGTACCGTTGGAAACGTTGGAATTGTTGAGCAATCGTAAAAACGTTTACAACGTTTTGTTACAAAATTATCCAAATTTATTGATATCATCTAAAAGTTTTAGCGATTCCGGTGCGTTGCATGATCAAATCAGCATACCATCGGCTAGATTTGTACCAACACCTAGTCCTTTAACAGATTTTAAAAATGACGAACGAAAGGATCCTAATTTGAAGGAGGATGAAAAAGAATTGGGAAAACAGGCTGACGCTACGTATCTATGGTGGATGAAAAAGATTAACTCTGATAGTCCATTGCGTCGTTCGAGTACCATGGAACATCCTAGAAGATTACCAACAGCCTATTTGAAAGATATCAGGATGCACAGGCATAGTCTTACTTACAGGGGTGCCATGTTAAACATCAACAGGTATCGTTTAAGAGCATCCAGTTGTCCTGATATTTATAGGAATTCAATGACCACCATAGCCAAGACTAAATTGGTCTGGTACGCCGGTCTTTGGGAATTTTGGGACTTGATTGTCGACATGTTGGATTTCTCTCACTTTGCTGATCCAAGATTTTTACATTTTGCTATTAGTAATTTTCTTTTACATACCTGGTATGACGTACCGTACGTTTATTTGACGGACAATGCAATTGAGATGGGTTTCAGCGAGACAGACGCTTCCATTTTGATTTCGGTTATTGGTATTGCCAACATGATCGGCGAGGTAATTAATATTTTATTATTTATTATGTTTTCTTGTTAACACGTTCCCTGTCAAGATAGGTTTTTGTTCAACTTGTATCATTTTTATGGCCTGATGAGGCCTGATTGGTTAAGTTTAAATGTGTACCATAAATGGGGAACGTGTTAAATGGTGAATGATGGTTAATATTTAATTCATATTGAATGAATTTTCAGATTATTCTTGGTTGGGCTGGTGACAGAGATTGGGCTAATGCTTCCATCGTGTATGCAGGTTGTATGATACTTTGTGGTGGTGTCACAGCTATGATACCATTGGTCGTCAATAATTATATTATGCTATGTTTAATATCTGGTGCCTTTGGTCTATTCATCTCGGCGAATTATAGTCTTACAAGTATCATACTCGTCGAAATGATCACTATTGAAAGATTTACCAATGCCTATGGACTTTTACTTTTAGTTCAAGGTGTTGCTAATCTCATGGGTCCACCATTAGCTGGTAAATATGTTTATAGTAATTATTATTAACTTATTTAGAAGTTGTTTTCTTGTTCTTCTTAATTTTAAGTGATTTTAGTTTGAAAGATTTTGAGTATTTAAAGTTAGTTTGACAAAAAGTTAGGTTAAAGTTTTACTAAAGATTATTGGGTCATATTAAAGTTTATAATATATTTGTGAGGGAAGATTTTTAATTGAAGGATTTTTTATGTTTTCTGTTTAAAGTTTTTGAAATCATTTTAATTTGTTATTATTTTCAATGGTATTATTATTCTAGTTTCCTTTTTTTTGTGTGAAGCACTAAAGTTACTAAAACAGAGTACTTGTTTTGATTCCAATTAGTCAACAAAAAGACTCATTTCACATTATTTTTTGATAATATTGAATAAATGTGAGAAAGTGTTAACTAAAAAAAAGTAACTAGGGAGAATAAAAGAAGAAATAACAATATTAAATCATCATCCCCTATTTTCATAATACTATTTCCAATCTTTTTCAAAGATTCAGATATAATTAGGTTAGAATGTTTTAGTAACTTTTTAATGATGAATATTCAGAACCAATAAATTGATCCACACTTTATTGATTCTATTGAATAAATGTGAGAAAGTGTTAACTAAAAAAAGTTACTAGGAAGACTAAGGAGAAGAGATAACAATATTAAATCATTTATCAAAGGGATTCAGATTATATTACTTTGAACAATTAAGTAACTTTTGAATGATGAATAAATAAGTTGAATAGCTTTAAGTATTGAAATTTGTGAATTAAATAAAACCTTCGACCTTATTGATTCCCGTTCTTTATTCTTTCAGGGTGGCTCTATGACATCACCGGATCATACGATCTCCCCTTCTACTTGGCCGGCTTCTTCATCGCTTTAAGTGGGGCGTTGCTTTTGGTAATGCCGCTCATTTCCCTCTATAGAAAATTTAGGTCAGGAAGAAGTTCGAAGGATGATGAAGTTGCCAACAAGGATTTTGCTGAAACGAATAACGTTTAGAAAATAAGAAAAAGAACAAAGAAAAAGAATGAAGAAGAAGAAGAAGAAGAAGAAGAACAAAAATTGTAGAAGAAAAATTCAAATCAACTAAATAATTTAGATTATTCATCTAAATATATTTCTTTTTTCTTTTTTTTCAATTAATTATGACAAAATGTTTAATTAGAAGGAATGCAAAAATACAATAGGAAGAAAATAATAATAATATATATATATATATAGAAAGAGGTTAGGTAAGAGTGGGGGTAGAAAGGAGTAGGGACAGAAAGGAGTGGGAGAAGATAATAGGAAATGTTGGCTTGTTTTTTGTTTTTTGTTTTATATCAGTAATTTGGAAATGTTTGTTTTTTGGAAAAATTGGAAAAAGAAATAGAAATAGAAAAAGGAAAGGGGGAAATAATACATAAGTGTGATGCATAATAAATTGTTATGCATTTTTAAAGAATTTTTCTATAATTGCATTCTAATATAAAATATATATAAATAAAATATCAACTTTTATTGTTGAACTATTATTTTATTCTTCTTCTTCTTCTTCTTCTTCTTCTGATTATTATTATTAAGACTATTATTATTAGAATTATTCTTAAATATTATTCCAATTTAACGTTTATGGTTCCTCTATAGAAAATAGAAAAAGAGAGAGAGAAAGAAAGATAAAAAGAAACAAAAAACAAAGAAAGAAGTTAGAAGAAATATGAATCATTGCTGGTCCAAATTTGGTCACTCAATAATTACATTTACAATATATATATATATACACGTAATTAATAATAATAATAATAATAATAATAATAATAATAATAATAATAATAATAATAATAATAATAATNGTAATTAATAATAATAATAATAATAATAATAATAATAATAATAATAATAATAATAATAATAATAATAATAATAATAATAATAATTTAATAACAAGAACGTAAAATAAAATGAAAGTTTGAAATAAAAATTCATTGATGATTCTCCAAAGGGCCAAATAATGAAATCTCGTGATTGGATGATCAATTTTTTTAACGATGACTCTTTGTGCGTGTGTCTGTAAGTGTACGTGTGTATATGTGTGTTTGACCGGAGATATAACAAAAAAAAAAAATACAACAACTAAAGAAGATTTCACAGTTTTATTATTATTATTGTTATTATTATTAAAAAATATGTATAGTCATATAATAAGTATAATTAAAAGAAGATAGAATTATGTACAAACTACGATAGAATTGAATGATGGCGGTGATACAAGCGGATTGGTGGAAAGAACAAAAAAAGAATGAGGAGGGGGAAGAGTTTCGTATAAAAAGAAAAAATAAGACCACGAGAAAAAAATTTGTAAAAATCATAGAAAAATAGTTATCTCGATTAATAATAATAATAGTAATAATAATAATAATAATTTCGTGGAAACGTTTTAAATCGTAAAATATTAACGAGAATGATAAAAAAAAAAACAAAAAGAAAAAAAAACAAAAAAATACGATTAATCGAAAAAAGCTAATTTTTCTCTTATTTTTGTCCTTTCTTCTCTTTGCCGGTTAAAAAATATTTGGCTAATTGTAAAGTTTCATCGACAAACAATTAATTATACAGTTTCGAATCTCAGGATATTTAATAATATTAGCAAATTAATTGCATTGTATAAATAAATTAATAATTATTATCTTAATAATATTGTCCTATTAACAAAATATTATATCGTAAAAGTTGCGTTTTAAACTACGTTAACACTTGTATACACTTCTAGGTTAGGTTAGGTATATATATATATATATAAATATACAGACATTACACATATGTACATGCATTTATAGCATACATATATATATATTCTTACATAATATACATAAATATACATATACAGTGCACGAAAATACACACAGAGATATACATAAAACACATAGAAATTGATTAATACAGGTTAGGAAAATGGTGAATAACATTGAGAGTGTTTGGTGTCATGGGAATCAATTAATCGCCTAACTTGTTTCCCACAAATTTCATATTTCTTCATAATTTGTTCCATTTTATTGTTTAAAAATGTTTACAATAGTATTTACAATATTTCTTACTTTTCTTTTTTCTTTTGTATGTATCTTAATGTGTATTACAAAAATATCATTTGACAAGTTATTCGAGGATAACGCTTTCAAATATATTATAGTGATTATATTTGTTGATATAAAAATCGTTTTCAATTAGGGAAAGGGTTAAGAAGGGATGAGGAAATGGAGGGTTTCAATTTTTTCAATTTAATTTACAAATTAACTAAACAGTTCATCAACAACATTTCTCATTGATAATTGAAATTATAAAATAAATTAGAAGTAAAAGATTGATCAGTATAAATTTTATGTTTTTATTTAGTAATTTGTTGTAAAAAAAAAAAAAAAAAATGAAAAAAAATATTTAATTAAACAATGATACTTTTGTTAAAATAATAATAGTTATGAAATAATATTAATAAAAATTGTCAGAATTATTTTGTATCGTAAATTATTTGATTATATACAAATAATTATAAGATAAATATATAAATAATATATTATAATAATATATTTAACATATTTATAATTATGTTATTTATAAAATTATATTGCATAAAAAAAAAAAGAATTTATTCATATAAAGTAAAACGATTTTTATATCATTTTGTAATAATAATTGTAAATTCTTGTTTGTTTGTTTAAATGCATCATGCAACATAGTTCTCTCTCTCTCTCTCTCTTTTTTTCTTTTTTTTTTGTTTCTTTTGTTTATCAATTAATTCTTTTGATTAATACGATCGAAAGTTTTACCATTTGTAATTATGAATTTTATTTTTACATTAATTTTATTACTATCATAATAAATTAATTATCAATCATGTCTTATCATTCATAAATAATCGTCGTTAATTGTCGTCGTTGTCATCATCATTCATCATCATCATTATAATCATCATAATTATCATATTAATCATCATCAGTAGTATCGGAATATGGCGCGTACTCGTAATTTTGAAGAAAAAAAAAAACAAAACAAAAGAAAATAGAAAAATAATAAAAAAAAATGAAACGTCTCTGTAAATATAATATAATAGTATATGTATATAATTATATATACTGCTTTTCTGTGATGATGAATCAATGGATTCGATGATGTGTGTGAGAATCATTTTATATTATTATACAGGGTGTGATCAACAAAAAAAAAGAAAAGAAAAGAAAGAAATGAAAGAGAGGGTGTTGTTCGATATTCGAAGAAAATTTATGCAAATAATTCATAAAAATTGAAATATTTTAATCAACAAATCTTTTTTTGTGAAAATTATTCATCAGATTTTATCAACAAATTGTTGTTGCAAAAATAATTCATCAGATTTTATCAACAAATCTTTTCTTGCAAAAATAATTCATTAAATTTTATCAACAAATCTTTTCTTGTGAAAATAATTCATCAGATTTTATCAACAAATCTTTTCTTGTGAAAATAATTCATGAGATTTTATCAACAAATTGTTGTTGCAAAAATAATTCATTAAATTTTATCAACAAATCTTTTCTTGTGAAAATAATTCATGAGATTTTGTTAACAAATTGTTATTGTAAAAATAATTCATTATATTTAATCAACAAATGTATTCGTTATTAATTCATTGATAAATTCATTCGAATAATCGAAACCAATCATATTTGTATGTTTTTTTTTCTTCTTCACACCTCGTATAATAAGAAGAAATGGAAAATTTTTAGGTTAGGTTTTTTTGCGTAGCCATAAATAAATGAATGAATTGAAATGAAATGGTATGACTATGTGAGAATGCGAAATTAGTAAACAAAAAAAAAAAGATATTATTAATGTATATCCGTGCCCTTTTTATACGAAGGATCGAACAAACAAATAAATAAACAAACAAACAAACAAATAAACAAAAAAATAAAAATAAAAATAAAAACATCTTATTACGCGGATTATATAGTTTCACGTGGCCTTCGTATCGATTTAGAATTATTATCTCATATCTACTTTTTCTCGCGACTAGTGTTGAATAAACAAACAAATAAATTAAATAAATAAATAATAATAAGAAGTAACAAATAAAGAAATAAAAAAAATTGAAAAAAAAAAAAAAAACTGAAACGAATAAAACATAGAAAAAAAAGAAAAATTCGAAAGTTACATTTAAAAAAAAAAAAAAAAACAAGTGATTGAACAATTAGGTGAATTTCCATCACGTTGTGCATGCATGTAATGCAAAATTGTATTTGCAATAATTTTTAAAGGAAACAAAAAAATTAGTTTAAATTTTTAATGCATAAAAAAAAACAAAATACAATTTTTCTATCCCAAGTTTGAAAGATAATATTTACTGTTCTGCATTTTACTTCTCATGGTCAGATACAATTTATTATGATTGGTGTGTTTTGTGATATTTAGTTAGACAAATTATTATTATTATATATATATAAATAAATAAATAAATAAATAAATAAATAAATTACGATAACTAAAGAAAGAAAGAAAGAAAGCATGAAAGAAAGAAAGAAAGAAAGAAAGAAAGGAAGATGTCTGACAAAAAAAAAAGAAATATTTTATTATAACGACAAGAAACAAAATAATAATAATAATATAATATTAATAGTAATTATAATTAATAATTAATAATTAATAATTAATAATTAATAATTAATAATCACGTAAGACGAATGTACGAAGAATAAATAAAATAAAAATAAAATAAATACGAGATCGATCGAGACAATCCGATCGTCAGATTAAAAAAAAAAAAAAAACTGCAAAAAAACAACCACCTCGATTTAAATATTAAAATAGTTTTTAAGTAGCAAGTTGAATGACCAATAAAATATAAATAAAAAATAAATAAATAAATAAATATAAATAGTTATACCAGCACACGCACAAAAAATGCGTTTAGTAATTTCATTTGATTGATAATTCGTTGAATTTTTTTTTGAAAATGCAATTGCACAATTCGGCTTTTTTCTTCTTTTATCTTAAATAATAAAATAAAAACAAATCTCTATATTCAAAAAAAAAAAAAAAAGAAAAAAAATTGAAGAAGAAAAAAGAAAAAAAAAAAAAAGAAAAGAAATATTTGTTCAACATTTTTTTCTTTTTTTATGAATTAAAATAAAACCAATTAACCCTTCATCCTTAACCCCCCCCAGTTTCCATTCGTTTAACGTTTAATGTTTTAATATTTGTAATATTTTATTTTTATTATTATTATTATTAATATTTGATTTTTAATTTTTTTAAATATAATTTTAATAAATTTAATATTTTTAATATTTTATTTTTATTATTATTATTAATATTTAATATTTTATTTATTTTTAATATAATTTTAATAAATTTAATATTTGTAATATTTTATTTTAATTATTATTTAATTATTTAATACTACAATATTATTTCAAATTTTGAATCTATTTTAATTATTTTTAGTTTGAAATAATTATTCTTCGAAATGCATTTGTTTTTATCAATTAATTATCAACAATCATTAAAATATTTCCATATAAAATTTTCATCGAAATTAAACTAAATGTTAATTTTTTTTCAATGAAATTTAAAATTGTAATTTTTGTTTTGGTATAAAAGAAGAAAGTAGCAAATGCGCAAAATCGAAATAAATGATAGTATCACTAGGTGTCATGCGCTGTGTTAGGGTTTAGTTCAGTTATACAGGTACGTTGTGTTTCTTCTGTACCTTCTACTATCTGAATGACGCGTTTAATCGTGACTACCACCACCACCCATCCACCCACCCACCCACTCACCCACTCACTCACTCACTCACTCATTTCATCAACGATTCTTCTACCACATAGTTCAGTTCATCGTGTATCTTCGTTACGAGAAGTTCTTCTTTCACGTGTTATCCTTCAATTGATAGTTTTTCTCACGTATTTTATCATTAACGTGTGTTCAATAGTTAACAATTTGTTAATAATTTATTAATTTGTTAATCTACTCAAGGATATAAGATTTTTGTCATTTTTTTTTTTATTTCGTTTCTTCGAAAAGTTCGATAAATTTTTTATATTTGTCTTTTTATTTATTCATTTTTAATCTTCTTAAATATAATTAAATATATATATATAATTTAGAAATAATTTGTTGTTATCGTTGTTGTTGGTGAATTATAATTAAAAGGATAATATCATTGAAAAGTTTTCAAAAGTTTCACAATTTGTTTGTTTCATTTCATTTGTTAAAGATAAATTTTTTAAAAATCGTCCAACAATTGTAATTTGTTGTTGTTGAGTGAATTATAATTGAAAATAATTGAAGATAAATTTAGAAAAAAAAAAATCGTGCAACAATTATAAGTGTTTGTTTGAAAGAACAAAAGGATCGTGCAGATCGTTTTTAGGAGAACATTTTTGGGATAAATATTTCGTGGTAAGTTGAATTGATAATTTATTGTTTGTAGTATATCATTCGCTTGTGTGTGTTTTTTTATTTGTTAACTTCTTTTTTTTTTTTTTAAGAATTTTTTGATCAGATTTAAATAACAAATTAGGTGACAATTTTTTTTTTTTCTAGTTGTAGTTTTAATCTAATTAAGTGTTCAAATAAATATAATTAGATCTGATTTGACAAATTTGGATATTAAATTAATTGTTTAGATTTGTAGACAAATTTTGGTATTAAAAATTGTAAATTTTTGTTGAAATTGAAAGAAAACTTGTGTACACAGAAATTGTTCTGATCAATTTAATAAAATAATAGAATATCAATCGTTGCATGCCAATTAACATTTAATTTGTTAATAATTACAAATACACGAAGTATAAGAATATTCACAGATTGCATTTAAAAAATATAAAATTACAGTTTCTAAAAATGTTTATAATTTATTTAAATGATATAAGTGAATTTGAAATAAATAAAAAGAATTTTTTTATAATTAAAAATACACGAAGTGTAAGAAAAATCGCAGATCTTATTTAAAAAAAAAAAAAAAATAATAATAAAATAAAATAATAAAATATAATTAACAAATGTAAATTGGAATGAATATAAATATTTTTAAATATAAATTTTGTCTAGACAAAATTTTCTATCAATAAATAGCATCACCAACGTAAACCAACTATTTATTATCATTATTATTATTGAATGCAATTAAAAATAGTATACCGTTCATGAAACTGTCGACGATTATAAATTTTGGACTATATCGATTTTGGATTCAATCCAAAATCATTCCCACTTACGTCTTACAGTACGTAAATGAAAATTCTCTTACGTTGGTTATTTAAGATTCAAATCAAACTGATCGATACACACTTATATAAAACTTTATATTTGTTGTCTACACATATTTCTTTTTTTTTTTTTTTTTTATGAATAATTTATAAACTTCTTCCTCGTGTGATTGAACACGTGTTTTACCTGTTTCACGTTTTGAATTAAATGTTAGAAACACGTGCTTTAGTTTGATTTATTTATTTTCATTTGTTCATAACATCTGAAGTTTTCAATCTATTTTTGTATCATTTTTTATGAATTAATTATAAACTTCCTAGATTGATTGAACACCTGTATTTTAATTGTTTCATGTTTCAATTAAATGAAACAAAGTGATTTAGTTTGATTTATTTGTTTCATTTGTTCCTAACCTCAAAACTTTTCAAACTATTCTTGTATCACGAGTTAGAAGACAAAGAAATTAATTGAAAATTAATTTTATGACAATATGTTAATAAAAGAATAATTCAAAATTAATTTTATGTGACAATTTGTTTATAAAAAAAAAAAAAAAATGTATAAATAAATATGATAAATCATTGGACATTGATTTTTAATAGAATTTAGTTTCAAATTGCTTATGTCATTTTTATTTTTGCATGAATATTGTAATATACATTTTTTGTAATATCATTGATGCATACTTGCATACATAGAAATGTTGTTAGTGTGTATATCCTGCAGTTACACTCCAGAGACTGTATATATGTATATATGCGTCATGTTATATCGCTTTTGCGCATGATTACTTGGCAAATGTTAACAAATAATTCATATTAACGTTCTATTTATCTATAATAATCATTTTCAAAGATATGATAATTCCAAAAAAAAAAAAAAAAACAATACATTCATTTACAATGATAAACATGAAATAAATTCGTAACAAATGTTACAAAACGTGTAGTTCCCATTTATTCATTTTAAATAATCATAATTATTAAATTGAATTATTTTAAAAATAAATAATAATTATTAAAAATAAAAAGAAAGGAACAAGATAAATTATAATAAAAAAAAAAATACTTCGAATAATTTGATTTTTTTTTTTTGAAGGTAAAAACCAAGATACTTCGAAGATCAATTTTCAATCCTTTTAAAATACAATTTTTCTAGAATTAAGGCGTTTCCTTCGAAAGTACGAAGACCTTTAAGTATCGGATCGATGATCCGCCTATAACCGGTCTATAAACTACCAACAATTCAAATAATTATGAGTTGACCATTCGTATTTGCTTGAATTTCATCGATTTTTTTTATATAACAGTTGTTTTCAGTATTTTTTTTACAGGCGTGGCATTTATTAATAGAAATTATGAAAATATATTTAATTTATTTAAACCATCCCAATAATAAAATAATATTATTTTACATTAATACAAATTTTATTAATATTAAAACAATTTAAAATCATTTCCTTTACTTTTTTTCAAGCATTGACAAAAAAATAAGAGACAAATTTTCAGGCTATGAGATGAGTTACAACATGTTGGTTCTTTTTTTTTGTTCTTTTTTTGTGATTTGTGGTTTTATTTTCTTTTTTATTTTTTTTTTTTTTTGGAATAAGAATGATTGATGTGTATATGGAAGAATAAATAAGATCTCTCGTAGTTTATATGTGTTTTTTCGCCGATAAAAGTGGAGACGCGAAAATCGACCAAGTCGGTCGTCATGGTGATACCTCTTTCTACACCCCCACTCTCAAACAAAGCAAACGCTAAGCTTTGGCCAATCAGCTATTCGATGTGTATGTCAGAATAAATACAAGTTATCTTTATTCTTAGAAATTTATTCCTATATAGAAGACAAAATAATTAGAAAGAATTTTTGTCTATTTAGAAATTTGAATTCATTTTAAAATAAAAATTTATTACTTAATAACATTTCATTTATTGTGAGATTCTTTTTAATAAATATATATATATATATATATATATATATATATATATATATATATATATATATATGAGTTACTGTAAAATAAATTGGAATAGAAGAATGTTAATTAAGGTTTATATGGTGAAGAGTCAGAATATGGAAGATACGTCAGTGAAACACAGAATATTTGGGTTTATTTTTAAAGATTTTTGAATTTACATCCAGGAATCATGGGAATCTTAAAATTTTGCGATGTTTGCCAAAATTAGTTTCTTTATTAAAAAATTTGTACCATAAATACAAGTTCCAGAATATAAATTAATTGAGTCTAGTGGCTTAGTGATTAAAAGGTCTGCTTTCAGATCGCCTGTCCACTTAAAGGTGGTGGGGTCGAATCCCCGCAGATCTACAAATTTATAAAGATGGTTTTTTTTCAAATTTTTTAAACATGGTGACTTCATGATGACGTTTCCAAGGGTTTTAGTGGGTGAGGAGGATGGTTGGGTTTTTTACATGGGGGTTAATGTTTAAAATATAATTACAGATATACAGAATGGTTTCGAAAAATCAAAATTCGAAAATTTTGAAATTGTTACAGGGTTCAAAATATTATTTAATCTTTAAAAATAAAACCCATTTGGGTTTAATAATAATATAAATTAATAATAAAATATAAACCCATCTAGGGTTTAATAATAATAAACCTATTTGTGGGTTTGATTATAATATAATAAAACTAATAATAATAAACCCAATGGGTTCTCAGTTGTTAAAATAAAAACTCATTTGGGTTTAATAATAATGTAATAAATTAAATAATAAGAACCCAAAAATGGGTTTAGTTGTTAAAATAAACCCAAATATTCTGTGTTTCACTGACACCATATCTTCTAAATTCTGAGGGTTGTTTCACCATGTGAATCTTAATTTAAATTCCTTCTATTTCGACCTTTTTACAGTCAAAACTCATAATACATAAATCATAATTAATCAACAATAAAAGTTGACCAATTGTTAATCGAATAAAATTCCCTATAAAATAAATTATATGTTAAATATTACTGTTTCATGATAGAATATAATGTAGCCTTGTTCTAAATAAGATAAAGTCTGCTGTACACGAGAGAAAAATAACATTGAACTTCTAATTCTAAAACTACTAATAACTTTTATCTATGACTAAACAATCGATCGACCTATTTTACATCTTTTTATTAAACTAAGCAAACATTCACACTTTTCACGAGAATATTTTACAAGTATAATAAAAATGACGTATGAATATGAAAAAATATAAAAAATCAAATTCAAATAATCTAATCATAACGAGAATAAAATTTGTTTGAAATGAGACAGGTGAATGTATTCAAAGTTTGTTCAGACGATAAGAAGATGCTTTAAATTACGATGACTTTTTAATTTTCTTGTTTTTTTTACAATTCAATTTAGATGTCTCTTTTTTTTTAATTCTTCTAAGAAATATTTTATAACACCTGAGAACGTTTAAAAAAAAAAAAAAAAGAAAAATACAATATCTTATTAAAACATCTAACGTAAATTATTTGAATCACGTAATCACCTGACAACAGGTACTCATTCATTCACGTCATAATAGGTTTTACGTATTAATCTCTCTCTCTCTCTCTCTCTCTCTCTCATGTGACTTTGATATTATGTAACTTAAAATTACGTTTTTTCAAATAACTAACATGTGAATTTAAAACTAATTTACATTAAAATTAATTTTTAAAAGTGTAACTAACTCAGGTATTTTTTTTTTTTACATTTTATTTAGCCCTGTACGAAATGCAAAATGGGACTCTTCAAATGAAAATTTTCAATCAGAAAAATATTTCATTAATTAATAAATTATCGAATTAATAAAATCATTTTCCAATTTTTCGTACAGTAAAATGCATGACCAACAAATTCATATGTAAATTAATAAACCTTTTGTTAATAATATATTAATTAAAAAATGATTAATTAATTTTGTATATTTATTTTTTTTTCAGCTTTTTAAATATAATCATTGTGTTATTTTAATAAATTATTTGACTTTTGTTTTTCAGTAATGCTAAGGAAAAAATAATAGAAATACATTTTGTATAATAATTTGTGTATAAAAATGATGCATGTTTTGTATAAATATTATTGTAACTAATTTAATTAGATGCTTCTAATTATTTTTCTAATTTAATGATTAATTAATTTATTATTTTATATTTAATTATTATTCGCTCACAAACCGTAAAAAGTGTCGCACGCACGTTCCTACGCACATACCTGCTTGCACGTAGTTTTGTTATGCACTACCTCGAAGGTGAGTAAGCTAATACAATTATTTATAATATTTATAAATAATTATTCTTTTATCATTATTTAATTATTTAACTAATTATATATATGTTGTAAATAAAATTGTAACAGGTATATGTAACAAATGACAAAAGCAGACTGAGAAAACAAAAAATGATTGAATATAAAAGAAATTTAAAAAGAATTTTTTTTTAATTATTTCTAAAGTTAATTGTGCAACATAATTGTTATAAATGATCATTAGGATCGTTAGGAAAGAAAAAAGAATAAGAACAGGACAGAAAAAAAACTTGCAAATATGTAATTTAACGAGACTTCTTTTTCTTCTTTGTTTTTTTTTGTTTTTGTTTTGCAACGAGTATTAAAAATGAACAAAACATTGTTTGCAATGCAAACGTAACGCGATGATTAATCTGAAGAAGAAGAAGAAGAAGAAGACATAATTGAAAGATAGTTGTTGATCTGTTGACAATAACAGTAACGTACGATAGACTAGAAGAGAAAAAAAAATAACCACTCGACCTTATTTGTCAAACAGTTGCATTGATAATTGCACATGCAATAAAAACGTGAATAATAAACATAATCTTATCTAAATTAATCCTTTCACTTAATTTCATTTATCGAACATTTTTTGTTTTCTTACTCTTTCACTCTTTTACATTTGTTTTACATAATTTTATACATAGATTGTATTATAAAAAAAACATTAAACATTAATATTGTAATCAATTTTAATAATAAAATATTAATTTTATTTTTACAAAATTTAATCGAATTATTAAAAGTATTAACAATATACATAATATATTATTATTATTATTATTAAATATATATAACTATTATTAATATAATTATTATTATATTTATTATTGAATAATATATTATGTATGTATAATAATAAAATTGAAACAATAATAATAACAAATGGAACATATTATTTGTAGGAAACTAGAAATCAAGGAAGAAGGTTGCATGCTGAAACAATTGACCTTCGGACTAAACGAGAAGAAAGGTTTGAAGGTCCTTATGGTAGGAGAAAGGCGTGGCAGATCTATTCCGGGCGAGATCCAAGGGCTAAAGGGTTGGCCCCGTCGTTGGATCCATTATAGGCCAATAATTATATTTAAAAGTCAAATTACAAATGGCAGATCGGATGAACATTAAAAAATATGAAAATCATTCTGATAATGATGTTAACAAATTACCATTGATACCACCATCCAATTCTATTAACAATAACAACAATAATGTCAATGATAATAGCGAAGAAAGTACAGTAATGGATAAAACATATTTGGAAAAAGATTTGATGAACAATCGATTACCAAAAATCGATCATAAAAACCCTAATCGATTTAAAAGAGCACCCATAGTTGGTTGGCACAATGGGAGTCCAACTGTATTCCCAAGTTCACCTTGTAAAACACCTGAACCTGATCTTTACAACAACCGAATTGATTTCGATGGTCCCATCAGTGAAATATCATCGTCAAAAAGTTCAGGCATTTGTCAGGATTCGTCAGGTAACACTGAAGATTTGAGTAGTTTGGCTGACGAAAGATTATTGGAATCAACACCTGCACGTACGATTGACAGAAGTATCGAATCATTGTCACCTGACAAGGATACATTATTGACGATGTCACCTGACAATAATTTTGGTAGAAATCGTGTGTTGAGTTTGGGCGATGAGTTAGGTGACAAATTTGATTTTTTAAGTCCTGACACTGATGGTACGGAAGATAACAGAATGTTTTCTACGACACCTATTGAACATCAATCAAAAAAAAGTCCGATTAAAGTGAACACGATGAAGGATGATACAATATTACCAATAATTATAGCAAATCCTGGGTATCAAGGTGACATGGTCAAAGATATCAGCGATTTTGACAGTGCAGTTGACTTGGAAAATGATTTGGATTCTACCATTGATGATAAAGACAAGAAAAAACCACGTATACCTGATGGTGGTTGGGGTTGGGTTGTAGTTTTAGCTTCCTTGGTTATTTCTATGATAGCTGATGGTGTTTCATTTAGTTTTGGTTTACTTTATATTGAATTCCTCAAAGAATTTGGTGCTAGTAAAGCCAAGACAGCGTGGATTGGTTCACTGTTTATGGCAGTACCGTTGTTATCGGGTCCTGTAATGTCAGCTTTAGTTGATCGTTACGGTTGTAGGAAGATGACTATTGCTGGTGGTTTGATTTCTGGAATTGGTTTTGTTCTGAGTTGTTTTAGCAACACCATCGAGGTAATGTATTTGACATTTGGCGTGATTGCGGGTTTGGGTTTAGGTTTGTGCTACGTCACTGCGGTAGTGAGCATTGCTTATTGGTTTGATAAAAAACGAACGTTAGCTGTAGGACTTGGTGCATGTGGTACAGGTATTGGTACATTTGTTTATGCACCTATGACAACATTTTTCATAGAAGAATACGGTTGGCGTGGTACTTGTCTTATGTTAGCTGGTACATTCTTCAATATGATCGTATGTGGTGCTGTCATGCGTGACCCAGAATGGTGGATATTGGAACAAAAGAAACAACAACAACAATTGTCATCACCGAAAAAATCCAACACAATTAAATCGGAAATTGATGGTAATGGTTCGACCCATGAATTATATTCCGATGAGTTTCCAGGTTTTGATGAAATTAGACAAATGTTGAAAACTGGTAAACCGGAATATTTGCTTCAAAGTCTTGGAACAAGTAATGCAACACCTAATCGTACTGCCACACGTGGTTCTACTTTTCGTAGTGTCGTCAATTTACCTACTTTCGTCAAGGAATGCGAAAAGGTAGGATGTAAATTGAACATAGATGATTATAAATAATGTTTTTCAATTGTCGATAAAAAGAAATATCTGTCTACGAGGATTTCAGGTGCCATTAGAAGTTTTACAATCGTTATCAGCCAATTCAAGACTTTACAATGTTATATTAGAAAATTATCCAAATCTTTTGAAGTGTCGTAGTATGTCGGATAAATTAACAGATGATTCGTCAGGGATAGATGATTATAAGAATACAGGTGTCACCATGACTATGAGGTTAATTGAATATTTTTTCTTATTAGTTTCATCTTGTACAACAATTTCAATTGTATATTTTTTTTATTAGAGTCAAGATGGCGGATGATACAACGAATGTTCATCAAATTCAAGATAACAACGAGAAGATTAACGCTGAGAAAAAAATTCTACAAGAAATCGATGAATCTAGTCATTTTATAAAAAAGGATGTTGCTATACCTGTAAGTATTATTTAAAAATATATATTAGGGTACCAAAATAATAATACTCTTAAAAATATAAAAAGTAAGGTTACGTCATATATAAACCTGAAAAAAACATACGACGTGAATATAGCCAAATAATTGAATTGCAATATAACACCATCTATTGAAAATTTACAGTAACTAAAAATCTAGATAAACTTTAAATAATAAATCCTTAAATTAGCGATAAAAAATAAAAAATAAACGCGACAAAAACTATCTTATATTCTAAGTTAAACAAAATCACACAAAATAAAAAAAGATTCATTAAGATTAGTTAACTAATTTCGAAGTTATTAGCAGACAAACATTGTGACACTAAATTTATATATACAAAGAAGATATAATAATTTTTAACAATGATTTTGTTGAATTAAATGTTAAATATTAATTTTTTTAAGATGACAGATAATGAGAAAGTGAAATCAAGACACCATATACCAGGTTTGACAGACGGTGTCGTTAGAACTGATTCATTGCCATGGTTGAGAAGACAATTTAGCACAAATACTCATTATTTCAAAGACATTAGAGTACATAGAAATTCTGTCATGTATCGAGGTGCAGCATTGAATTTACAAAAGTACAGATTGAGAGCAAGCAGTTGTCCTAATATTTATAGAAACAGTATGACCACATTGGCCAAAGAAAGTGAAGAGGTAAACTAAAAGAAACATTCACATATATAAAATGAATTTAAAAATTGAACAACATTATTAAAATGAATAATAATATCAATTGTAGAAATGGTACAGCGAGTTGGTTAACTTGTTGAAAGGTATGATGGATTTTTCAATGTTTTTGGAATTTCATTTTTTGTTGATGTCACTGTCAACAATATTATTATTCACTTGGTTTATCGTACCATACTTTTATCTTGCTGAACATTTAACAAGAAACGGTTATGCTGAGACAGATGGTGCTAATTTACTTAGCATTATTGGTATAACGAATACAATTGGTATGGTAAGTTGTTAAACACAAATGAAACAATCATTTAACATCATTAGAATGAAATAATTATAATAATATTCATGATAATTTGACAGATCGGTCTTGGATGGGCAGGTGATCAACCATGGATGAACGTTAGCAAAACTTACGCATGTTGTTTGGCTATTTGTGGTGTATCAACTATGTTAATGTCAACTTTTACTTTACATTATGTACCATTGATGATAACTTCAGCATCCTTTGGATTATTTTTTGCCAGTAGTTTTAGTTTTACACCAGTTATATTGGTTGAATTGATACCATTGGAAAGATTTACAACAGCTTATGGTCTTACTTTATTATGTCAAGGTATTGGAAATCTTTTAGGACCACCGCTGGCCGGTTGGTTATTTGATATCACAAATTCATGGGAAATGTCATTCATGATGGCTGGTATGTGGATTATTGTTGCTGGTTTTTTGATTGGTATCATACCTTTCACCAAAAATCGCAAGATTTGGGGTAGTGGTTTGATTGAAATGGAACGTTTAACTTTGACTCAGAATCAAGCATAGTTTGATCTGAATTAGAATGATTTAGGCATGAGTTTTTTTCTGTTGATTTTTTAGTATTAGAAAAAAAATAAAGTAAGATTTAAATTGAGACAAGTATTTTCTCAATTAAATGGTGTATTAATTATCAATTTGATTGTATATTTAAATCTTGCTAAATCTTTTTACAAGTACACCCATCGTGCCAGGACAAATACTATTGTCCCTGTTTTTCTAGTCTTATTAGAATAATTATAATAATAATAATAATAATAATGATAAGTAGAGAGTCTCGAATTATTATTTAATTGTTAATTATTGTCTAACATTATTGAATTTATTATTTAACATTAACTTGGATATGTTATTCATTTATTGATTTTTCTATAATTATGTATCTATATTTAACACTATTTATACCAAGAGGTGTTAAAGGACACCCTTTAAATGTTAACTTAACATTATTCTTTAAGTTTCATTATTTCTTCACAATTAATTTGACTTTGGGGAAAAACAATTGTTAAATTAATTCAACGATATCATTTTTTTCAAGCTCATCCTGGATTTTAAGGTTATCTTTTGGGTTGAAATAGATATAAACAAAATTATGGTAGAAATAGTGTTAAATTTTGATTTTTTTTTTTTTGTTAAGTTATTTATAATGAAATATTTGGGTATGCCCAAAATGAAAAAAATTACTCATGGTCGTGCCTAAAATATATATTAAAAAGAGAGATGTGCCTTCGATGTACTTAGGAGCAGAATTTTTGTGTGTGCAGGGCTTCCAAAACATCGAAGCTATCGATGAATAGCAAGAGCGAGCAAATTTCATAATTTAATTATAAGTATCTTGTAAACTAAGTGATTCCCAATGTAAAGTACAAGGTCCACAAAAATGACAAATTGTAGTTTAACAAATGAAAACACTTAGAAAATGATTTCTGTTCAAGTGAAGCTACATTGTGAAGTGAAAGTTTGTTCAGAACAAAGTTAAACATCAATAACTTCATGATACAATATTATCTTCTCTTTCAATATCATAAATTTATGAAACATACTATAGTATTGGTAAATTGTTTCTTGGAATTGAATTATCGATTGTTTCAAGTTTAGAAATTCGATTAGGTTTTGTGTTAAAATTTCTATGACCACACCCTATGGGATAGTTAGGGTTTGATTTCATACTTTAAATAATAAAAATGATATTTTACAGAGAAGATAGAATTAGAATTTGATGGTCAATACAATGTTGGGAACCACTGTTATAAACTTATGTACAATGAACTATATATATATATATACATATATGCTTAAGAATTCAAAAAACAATTCTACATATGCGTTTTCTTCTTAAATCCTTTATATACAATGAATATAATTTTTTATATAATCCTACTACCTGTTCCATTTAAAAAGCGATAAATTATTTGTTAACAAACAAACAAACAAACAAACAAAAATTCAACAGATATTTTGAATCTTTTAGCAAAATTATAATCTTATCTTTTACGTGAAGATTAAATAAATTGATATTAACCGAATACGAGTTCTTCTTCTTTGTGAAATGATAAAAACAATTTCTGATATTTTTATCTAAATTTTTAAATAAACATCAAACAATCTTGACGAAATATGCCACATTGTAAAAAGAAATAGAATGACAAGTTTAAAAAAGAAGAAACAATAAATTTTACAGTCAGTTATTGAACAAACAATTGTATCGAATTAATAGAACGTTCATTTGTTTCTATTACAATTAAAAGATTAATTATTAATTAATATATAAAAATTATTTTAATATTTAATCATCAATTCTAAGTAAATCTATTCTCTTTTTTTACAATCTATTTTCTATATTAATGTATAAATAATATGAAGAATTAATTCCAACTTATTAAAAATAACCTAAAATATTTATATATAAATATATTTAGATTATTTTTTTTTAATAAGTTTAATATATATATATATATTATATCAAATATAAAAATCTAACTTTTAGTATACAAAACTCATTTCATATTTAAATGTAATTTTTTGCATATTATTGCAAAATTATCTTATAAATATATAACAAATCTACATTGTTAGATTTACAATAACTTTAAATTAATATTCTTCATAGAAAAACTAAATTTTTCTTACATGTTTGTCTGTCACTTATTACAATGAAACGTAAAAATCATAGTATGCGTGATAAGTATGAAAATCAATAATGTTAGAGCCAAGATTTGGGTCAACTATCTTAAGATTGGATTTTACAATGACGTCAAGTCTTAAAACTAGACTTACGAATCCATTTTACATTCGATCCATTTCATTTCATTATTTTTTAGTGATTTGTTTGCTTTTTTTTAGAATATAATAAATGAAAAGTACAATCATGTTTATCCTTTCAGAGATTTTAACAAAATGATTTGTTTGATTTCTTTAAGAAATGTTTATTAAAATCTTATCAGTATCCAGGTGATGTGGTTGGACTAGATGAGTGTGGACTTGGACTACGACTTTGATGTTCAAAAACTGGTGTTTTAGGAACTCCTACAACTGTTGAAAGACTTCTCAAACTTTTTGGAAAAGTTCTGGTGATGATTGAGTGTTGTGGACTGATCAAAGCATCTCCCATGACACCCAAACGTACACCATTCCCATATCTGTGCAATGTTATTGACATATCTAACAAAAAACACCAAATTAATCAGATTACTCATCTTAATGTAGAAGTTCAAAATTATTGAAAGTAAATTTACAGCAATTTCCTTGAGGTGGTCTCCAATAAACAGCAGTATCAACACCTTCAACAGGTAAATTACCATCTACGTGAGTCAAAGACAACGTGTATCTTTTGGACAATTGATTGAGTATTAATTTCAAAAATATTGATGGAAAAAACGAGGATATCAAACCACGCGATGCTTCAGCAGCAGTTATTGCATAAATTGCACTTTGTTTTGCTCTTGCTTCTTGTACGTTTTTTTGTATAACCTAAAAAATGAATTGATCAAAGAATTAGATAATAAAATTAACAATAAAACTGATTAACTAATAGAAATATATTGACTTGAAGTATTTCAAGTAAATCATCCTCAAAAAGTGGAGTCCTAGTTGGCAATGCTAAACATAGAATACCACGGGCTTCATGATTTCGCAAAAAAATCGCTCTCTGATTGACAAATTTGGCTGTAGTTAAAACATCATCAGGAATATTGATACCACAATGCATAAAATATTTTTTCAAGGAATCCACGATTGCTGTCAAAAGGATTTCCGTATTGGTAGCTCCGGTAACACTTGAAATTTTTCTCAGTAGATCCAAACTGACCTCATCGGACCACGCAACAACTTTTCTACCACATGGTGAAATAGTTTGCAAACGATTGGCATGTGGATGTTTTAGAAATAATTCTTCCAGTATCAATTTAGGTGCACCTATTGCTATCCAAGTAATGGAAAAAATTTCGATGGTTGCTTGAATTATCAAAGGCAAGTAACACCAAATCATTGAAGTCAACGTTTCCGGATAGAAATGTTTATGTTTTGATTGCAAAGCTTGAAATTCTCTAATCATCAATATTGGTACTTTCAATGTTAATGTTATTAATAAATACCATGACCATGCTATCATTGAATTGATGGTGTTTATTGGATTAAGGACTCTGACAAAGCCAGAAAATATTACGGACATTCCAAAGTTTCTTTTGTTGACTTCTCGTTGAAGTATAAAAAACATGTCAAAGAATTTGAGACCTTCAGATTTTCTGTACTGTCTGAAAAATATCAAAAATAAAAATCAATTTGTGAAAATTCTAAAAAGTAATATCTAAGATTAATTAATCGATTTCTTTTGATTACCTTGTCAATTCTTTAAAAGTCACAACCAGTACGATTACACAGATCTTGATTGATTGAAATACACCAATTTGTTTCTTCATAATCTCTGGTCGTTCTATCGGATCATTGTTGCAAAGAAATTCGTTCCAATAATTGCTGAAATTTTCTGTCAACTTTTGATGAAGTTTAGGTAAGGCCGATGGTTCCACGTAAAGATCGGTGAACGGTGAATCGGTTTCTTGGCAAGCCCAATTGTCGGATGAAAATTTCAATGGTAGAAAATCGGCAGGTGAAAGATGTTCCAAACGTAGCAACAAATGATGGACTCTTACCAAACATATTTGATATTCTTCGTCGCCGAAGAAACAATTGATAACGTGTACTTGCCATGGTGATCTGTCAATTGGCAGAAATTTCGATGTAATGTCGCTCACGTAATCCTGTAAAAGAAACGACAAACAAAAATTGATTATTCTTTGTTTCAAAAGGAATACATGTTACTCGTGTTGTTTTCTCACTGTTTATGGCAACAACAAAATATAATAAGAAGCACGAGAACGTTTTGTTAACACTATGACGTCCGGTGACTCCACGTTGATGCCATTCGGAAATTATTGTTAGGTCGAGTTATTAATTTTCTATCAACACGTCGCATTAGATTCACGATTAATAAATAAAACGTAAAATATATCTTTGAACTCGTTGATAATCGTGCGTGATTTAACTGTTTTCGTTAAAATAACGAAAGATAAGAAATCGTCTGTTTAACTGAGCACCCACCACCACTTTTTGTGGTGATAACAAAGGTCAAGAATATATTTCTATGCAAATTAATGTTGTTTTAAACTTAAAAATGTGTTTTGGTGAGAAAAAAATTGCAATAATTAACGTATATTATTGGTTGTCATGAAAACAATTATGTGTCTGAGTATATTTGTGTTTGTTGGGTGAGTTAAAATATAGAAAAATGAAAATTGAGATAAAAGTTTAACCGTAAATGAATATTTTCCATTATAAAATTGAAACCATAATTAACCTACCAACGTAAATGCAACGATTCGAATTGATCTCGCTTAGGCATCATCCGTTAAATTAATTTCTTAGTTTAAAAACCTGAATATTGGATTCGTTGATAGGTCTGTTCCGAAAGGAACATGGCGAATTAATAAGATGATTGTCCAAAGAAAATTGTTCGTTGTCCATCCATACATAAAAATCCAATGTAGTGGACAATTTAAATCTGAGAAGTTTCTTGTTAGACGTCAAATGTGACAAATGACTTCTCATACCTTCGGCAATTGATCGGCCTTTAACAAACAGCGTGTATATTCCCTACAAAATCAAATAAACATTATATTAAATAATAAAATATACACAAAATTTATTTTTATACAAATTGTATGACGTTCATACTTGTAAAACACTCACATGGTTTCTACCTTGATCCAATATACTTCGAATGCTATTATCTTCAACCACAATGCAATTTGGATATTTCCATTTGACATAACTGATGAAAAACTTTCTCGACCATGTTGTAACTAAATAAATAAATAAAAAAAAAAAAAACAAATAGAAACATGGTACAAAGTTAAAACAACTCGTCATGAAAAAGAACAAAATAATTCTGATGATTTGATTAACCCTTTAAGTGTTGAATATTTTTAACTAAAATGTTTTATAGAAACACAATAATTTATTATTAATTAGATTCTAATAATAAATTATATTTAATTAATATAAACATTACATTATTTTATATTAATATTAACAAACACGTATATGCATCGATAGTCCACTCTGATAATTTTGACCAAACGCATATATGCGTCTATAGCACTGTAAGGGTTAATACGATTAAATGAAAATGAAAATTACCGAAATATAGGAAAAGAAAAATTGGTAATAAAATAATTCCGAATAATGTTATAAAAATAAGATTAGTTGGTATTGCAAGACTGAACAAATCCGTCAATTGAAACGACGAATTTGATGACAACATGACAACCATTATGATATTCAATTATTTTGCACACTTTTTGTCACTTTTTAGTACCTAAACTTTATACTCAATTGTTTGAAAAATAATATTGCGTAAATGATTATCAAAATGTTGTTTTATAATACAATTGAACAAGTGTTTTCGCTTAGTACCGATTTATAATTACTGATAGATCAGACTACTTGACGTTCCTCTTTGATCGATGACCGCAGTTGACCTCACTTATGAAAAAAGATGATAAAAATACTACAACTGTTACGTTTATAAGATATAATGAATGTTTTTCTTTTTTTGTTTTTTTGTTTTGTTTTGTTTTAATGTTACTCATTTCAATATTTTTCTTTACAAGTGTCTGAAACTAATCAAAATTTTATAATACAATAATAATTATAGATATTTATTTTTTACTATTATTTAAATTTTGATTATCTATATATATATATAATTATTTATTTTATTATTAAGGTAAATGGTTAGCAACAATGTTTGTTGTTTTTTTATTTTATAAACAAGAAATATCAATTTTAATATCATTCATTATTTCTAATCTTTCTTTTTTCTTCTTCTTCTTCTTATTATTATTATCAACTAATCATTGACGTGAGTTTAATTATAGTCATTGTGAGATATAAAATTCATATTGGAATATTTTGAAAATATTTTTTATCTAGATTGAACATAACAGTATACAAAAAAAAAACGAAGTTTGTTTCAAGGTGAAACAAATTAGCTATCATTTACAATATTAAAGCAAATATTAAATATTCTTTTAAATTATTACATGCAATCAATTAACAATAATTTTGTATACTAATCGATAATAAACATTTTTTTTAATATCATAAAAATAAGACTATGATCAAAATCTTTCCTGAAATCATAGGAAAAACTTTTTCTGGTTCTTTTCTTATTTTATTTCAATGCATTCATATTTTTGATTATGACTGTATCAATCTGTAAATTAAATCAAATTTAATTAAATATCAAATTCTATAATAAAATATTTATTAAATATGCAACATTAAATATTTTAAACATAAAACAAAGTTACGTCTTACCTTTACTGTGTTCAAAATCAAAATAAACTTGTCCGTGACAACGTTAGTCAAATTTAATATTAATTAAACATTAAAATATTGAATTTTGTACATAATTTTTCATACACATTTTTCTTACCAATTGCAAAGTTTAGTAATTATTGTTTAATTAATCTAATAGTCAATTGATTCTAGTATTCTTACAACGCCATTTTAAAATTCTGTTAAAACGCGCCATTGTTAAACTAGAGGAAAACCAATGATAGGTTAGGGGAGTGTTAATAATATGCAAGTGAATTGCAATTGCAATTGCAATTGACACGCTATTGGTGAACTATAATTCATTTGTTTCCAGTAACTAATACAAAATAAATGAAAGTAATACTTATATATAACAAAACTATAAAAATTGTTATAATTTTTTTTTTAAATTTATGTTGAATCAAATCAGCAACTATTTCATTTTAAACTTTATGTCGAATCAAATGAGCAACTATTTTATTTTTAAATTTATATCGAATCAAATGAACAACTGTAAGTGCATAAAAATATTCAAAATATTCAAAACAAAGTACTACTCTAATATATATAAATATCAATGATAATTTTTGTAGGATTTAAAAATAAATACATTGATTGTAAAAATGTACATTACGTTTATTAATTAATAATGACGATTCGTAATGTGCGTCACGATGCACCTTTACGAAATATCAAGTGAATTACAAACAGGCGCTAAAGATATAACGTATTTCCTAAACGGGGGAGGGGAGGAGGAGGAGGAGATCAGGCGCCATTACGAATTGGTTAATTAAAGATAGATGGGTTGGGGAAAAGATGATGGGGAAAGGGAAGGAATAAATGAATCGTAAAAATGGATAATGGAAATTACAGAAATTACCGTCGTCATCAATTGCAATAATAATTCTACTACTACTATTACTACTTATAATAATAATAATTAATTCCTAATTCGAATTTGTTTATATATATTTATATGCATATGTATAAACAAAAACAAAATGTCATTGTTATTTAATTTGTTCTCTTATTCAAGTCTTTCATACGTTTTGAAAAAACCAACCCAATTATAAAATAAACGATGAAAGACGATAAGAGAATAATTAAAGGGGTTGTTAGTATGTTAGACGACGAGGGTTGTAGTGGTGATGGTGGTTAGGGGGTGGGGGTTGATTGATGATTACGTACGAGAAGGAATGACGAATACGCGAACGTCGTATTATAATTCATTATTTTCGATACAGGCATAGTGCTACACGGTTTTCTTTTTTAAATGACAGTGACCGTTACGTATTTATGTAATTTCATGATATTATTATTATTAATATTATTATTATTATTATTATTTATATATATATCTTATGTTATAATTATATTCATATTTATATGCATGTATATATAAATATATATATACATATATATATATTTTTTCTATATGTATATGTATATATATATTTATACATACATTTTATTTAAACGTAAAAACTATATATTATAAATATATATAATCGTAGCTTAGTAACTACTAACGCAACGGGGAAAAAAATGGGGCTTGAGATTGAGGGTGGTGATAATATTTACACAGCCTTGGGGCCTTGGGGACCGTTGGTTTTTTCCTTCTTTTTTTTTTTTTTTTAGTTTGTTTGCATGGTCCAGATTTTCCTGTTAAAATTTGTCATTTGTTTCTTCAATCTTCGCACGCTCTTTAGAATGAGTAGAATAATAATAATAATTGAATTATATAGATAGATAATAATGATAATTGTTGATGACGATGATAACTGGTTGTTGAGGAGATAAAGGGCTAAGGGTTGCTACTAAAAAAAGGTGGGAGTGATTTGTTTTAGCATATTCTTTTTTTTTTTAAATCTGTGAGGGGAATCCCCTAACTTTTTCTTCACAGAAACTCGATTATTTCAATTGTTTATGTATGAATAAAGTTTGTTAATAATAAATTGATTAATTGTTAATAACATCGTTGAATATTTTCGGAATCTTTCAATGTAGTAGTATTATAATTACTATAAACTAGTGTTATTAACATTTATACATAGTATAATCAAGTTTTTCACGCATGTTTGTATGCCACGTACACACTTTTCTCTCCTAACCTTACATTTTTCTAATTTTCTTCTTTTTATTAAGCAATTATAAATTGTATTACAACAAGAACTCGATTATGGTTGTTCTTGTTGTTGTTGTTGTTTTGTTGAACATGTATTTAAATATAAAAATGAATATAAAAAAGTACCAAACGAATGTGAGTATGATTATTATAACGACAAAATGATGAACAATAAAACAATTGTTATTTGTAATCATTCTAATTAAACAATCAATCAATCAATCAATCAATCAATCAATCAATCAATCAATTAATTAATTAATTGTAATATGTTTGTTTATATGCACCAAAAAAATAAATCACTTATTATTAATATGTATATCTTAATTAAATTAATTAATTAAAATAAAATTGTTTGCTAATTTAATTCTATGTAAAAATAGTGTATAAAGAAACTAAGGGTGAAAACTGGGGGGTAAGGGTTGTTTAATATATTATTAACTAAAGTACGGCACTTCGAAGGATAGATAATAATCGATCATTACATCATTATTATTATTATTATTATTATACAAGAAACATTAGTTTATGTTTTTGTCTTCCCCCTCGTGCAATTTTGTGTTTCAACTGATCTCATGAGCTGAGACATGGCACGAATTAATATACATAGGTATTTTTATGTATGTATGCATGTGTGTATTCATAATATACTTATTTAAAACGAGATTTATTATTAATAATAATAATAATAATAATAATAATAATAATATTAATAATAATATTAATTCGTTTTAATAAATTCTTTTTTCATAATTCATTTTCGTTTGTTTGTTTCTTTAAAAGACGAAGAAGCTTATTGATAATAAAATATTAAACAAAATAATTATTATTAATGACAAAAAATGTAATAGTAAATTGTAATGCATTTGTTTTACGTATTTACAAAGCCATTTACGCGTCCCATATTTGTTTAATATTATTTTAATTAACATTGTTTTTTTTTTTTTTTTTTTTTTTATAAGACACGTGTATTTGTAGTAAATATATTGCACTGTTTCAAGCTGCGTAATTGTTTATAATTATTATTTAATGCTTCTTCATCTTCGATAACGATAACTTTGACAAATGTTCAATCAATTTATCAATATATCCATTATTTAAAAATAAAACATATAAAGAGAAACAAATTTGTAATTGTTAATCAATTATTATACTGATCAGGGTAGTAGTTTTCCGAATTTGTATTTTCTATTTATCTATTTATGTATTTGTAAATATATATATATATATATTTTTAAGAATTGCGATACGTGTGTTTTAGACAATTAATTAATTAATTAATAATTAATATAATTAGAAATATATTCTCACAATACAACGTTGTTGTTTAAACATGTAAATTATACATGTGTGTTTGTAGAATATATATATGTAACATATTATTAATACCCATTCATTTAAAAAAATAAGAATATAAAATTATAAAACTATCAACAAATATACATTACATTATTATTATTATTATTACATAACCTTATTGTTTGTGAGAAGATAATACATTTAAAAAGAAACAAATGTTTGTTTTTAAATCTTTTTCTTAAAAGAGGGGAATGATTTCCCTTTATTTTCCTCAATATATGACAGAATAAATTCTGATAATATACCGGGTGTCTCAGTCAACTTTCTTTTAATTAAAAAAGAAGAAAAAGAAAATGTACTAGGTTTATATTTTTATTTTATTTTATTTTTTTTGTTTTCGTTAGATTCGTTTCTATACTCCTCTAGTATTCTTCAGATTGTCCAAAATGTATTTTGTAGGCCCATGTTTGTTTTTTTTTTTTTAAATCATTTATTTTTTGTTTGTTGTTATTGTTGTTTGATTTTGTATTATTTTCAAACTATCTCGTTGATTTATCATTAAAAAATAATATCCCACGTTATTTTATTACTTTCATAAATCGAGAAGTACTTCGAGTATTAACTTCATCATTGGTGTGTGAAAAATATTTTGTTTTAGAAAAATTCTTGGTGTAAAATTAAAAACGTCAACTTTGCGAGATTTTGTTGTTGTTGTTGTTGTTGTTTTTATCGTTGCGATTTCAGTTTCATTTTCGATGATTTATATTAAAAATAAAAATTAAAAAAGAAATAAAAAAAAATTAATAGACGTAAACAAAATAAACATAAAACGCAACAATAATAAATTGCAAATACAATGCAATATTTTCGATATTCTTTCGAGTATTTTCTTGTTTTCTTTTTGTACACTATTTTCGTTTTCGTTATCGAAATGAATAATTTGTGAGAATTGAATTTTACTAACTAATTGTTTTTTTTTTTTTATATAAATTTATACATTTTGACAGCAACAAATTTTTAAATGAAAAATATTTATCAAAGTAAATATTATTTTTGTAAAAAAAAAAAAAAAGTAAGCTGCCAAATGTATTGTCATCTCGTTAAATTGTTTTATAAAAATCACGTGTTTTTTCTTTTTTTTTTTAATTTTTTTTTCATTTTAAACAGCACGCAATAAACTATTATTATTATTATTATTATTATATCAATTTTTTTTCTTAATAGTGTAAATAATTCATATTATCAAATACAAATCCAATTAAGTAATTTTATCAGAATGATGATTAATATCATCGTTAAACTATTATATATATATCACACTTTTAATTAAAAAAAAAACGATACTTCACAATAAAGTTTATTGCATGCTGTGTGTTTATGTGTGTGTGCGTGTGTGTGGATTTTTTCTAATATGTAATAGTTAATTTTATAAAGGTTAACTTTATATATATATATATATACCACATAAAAAATTGTTAATATTGTGCGCAATTCAGCATAATACAATTCCCATAAACATCAGTTATCATCATCATCATCATCATCATCATCATCATTATCATCATTATTATCATCATCATCATCTTCTTCTTTTTCTTCATTTCTCGTTTATTTAATTCATATTTTGTTATTTATTTCGTATTTTAATATCTTCTAAAGAATGATTATATTATATTTGATACCTAATCATTCATTAACCCTTTATACTCGAATGGAACCGAATTAGTGCAAGGCAGATATAAGTGGCAACTCGAGTGGCGCTGATACGGCGCCCGGCAGATATAAGTGACAACTCGAGAGGCGCTGATACGGCGCCCGACTAATTTCTTTTAAGATATCCTTAAAGATAATACCTTAAAGGGCCGAAAAGAGTTTTAACTCATCTCGAGTGCAATGGGTTAATAATAAAATATGATAGTGAGCTATTAATAGTTGAATGCAAAAATTTATAATTATTTTTGTATGAATGTTAATAAATTATGCAATTTGAGATTGGAATAATATCTTTTGTTGTTGTTGAATGAAAAATATATGAATTGAAAATATCAATAATAATAATAATATAATAATAATAATAATAATAATAATAATAATAATAATAATAATAATATTGAAAATAATTTAGAGAAAGTTAAGTTTTATCGTTGCAACTTATTTTATAAAAGTTCGCTTGAATTCAGTCTATAAATATATATATATATTTATATATATTTATATATTATATAGCAAAGTTACTATATTATCGCAGATATTAGTTGTACCAAGGTACAAGCGCTCACTATCTCTTCGAAAATTGTATATGAAAAGAAAAAAAAAATATTTTTATATATATATATATTTTTTAAATGATTGAAAGATGTTTTTATGAGAAGAGACATATCCGATTATTATTATTATTATTATAAAAAAAAAAAACAATCATCAAACTAATGATATAATTATCATAAATTTTAGTTTTGTTCGTGTTTGTATCTGGCAGTTTAAAGTTGACAAAATGTCGGAATATCTCTTCCATTAGCACATTTTTCTTTTGTTCATATTATATATATATATAACGCTTGTCCCGTGTTAAAAATAAAAACAAACCAAAAGAAAGTCCTAAAATTGAGCGTACGATGATCACACACGCACACACGTAACACACACTGAGAGGAGGAAGGTTGAGAGGTTGAGAGGTTAGGTGTGATCATAATAATCGCGTCGTTACTATTCATTGGTGGTCACGTGTCTTATAAGTTTAAAAAAATATTAACAATGGCAATATATATGTAGAATGTATTAAACTATGCGGACAAGCTAGTTTTTTGTGTTTTTTTTTCTTTTTTTTTTTTTTTATATGTTTTCTTTCAACTATGTCTTCTTCAACGTAAAATAATAAATTCTATTATCTTATTGATGATGATTAGCGTTCACATGTTATAGGCTACATAAATCGGGTCAAGTTGATCTGCAAGGAATCCATCACGCAAATGCATCCGTTGTTTCTCACCTCTCGAATTGATTGGAACTACACCAGGATCAACTACTACTACTACACCTACTACCAAATGATGTTCTTCCAAAACAGCGCTAGTAACAAGTGCCACTAAATCGAGAGCTTCACTTTCACTTCCGTCAAGCTCTACCACTACTACTAACAAATTAGTCCACGTAAACACGGCGCTGTGAAAAACAAATTACAAAATTATTCAACACATTTTATTTTATATTACATTTATTTGTATTTAACCCATTTGCATCCTTGTTCAAACAACTGACAACTGACCCGGTGTATCACCGTTCAAATTCTTCCGCGCTTGGATGCAAATGAATTAATTAAAAGTGAAAATAAAATTGAAATTTTCTACTGACCATTCAGCAATTTTCTTATGACATCTCATGACACTGTTTTCGATATCAATCGGATGATATCTCATGCCCCTAAGTAAAATGGCTTCGTCCAAAGCACCAACGACAAAAACAGCGTCATGTAATTCGGCATCACCGGGAACTAAATCGGCTTCAGATGCAGCTGAAGTATCACCAGGAACGTCACTAATAACAGACTGTTGAACGCTTTCAGTCCTTCTTAAGAAACCAAGATAACCGGTCCTAGCGTAAACTTCATTTGTATTTCCAGTTACTAGTCGTGCATTGAAGTGATCAGCATAATCAGTCTCGTCCCCATAAATTGTAAAATAACCACTTGCATTGTGTGCCGATTGTACCCAGATTTCTCCTAAGTGTGAATCACCGCATTGACCTTTAGTTTCTGGATTTGCTATTATAACTTTGACACCGGGTAGTAATTTTCCTGATTCCATTAAACAGAGTGAATGTGGGCTACCCCTTTCGACTAGGGATACACGATCGTTACGTAATGCTCGTAAATCCACGTATACCGTTGATGGTTCCGGACTAGATGCACCCTTTTTTATTTTTTGTTTGATTTTTAAGAAAAATATTACATTAATGTTCATTTTTTGATGATATTAGTAATGAAATAATGGTAATAGGATTATAGTATTTACCTGAAGACATATGGCAGTATTAACTCTACATCCAAACGACGTTGAGACAGCACGCGGACTTAATCCAAGCGCTGAGAAGAGTTTGCTGAAGCTCGTAGTCAATGCTATTCGTGGTCTTTCTTCTGCAACTACTACGCAAGTCCTAACACATGCTAAACTAACGCCACGAGCTTTTAAAGCATGAACCGAGGAACCCAAGCCTTTGGTGCATAATTCCATAACACCATAGGAGCAAAAAGTATCCCTTACTCTGGATTGACTAACAGCTGACAACCATAAAGCTGGATTTGCTTCAACCTGATAACAAAAATATCATTTACATTTAATATATGTATAAATAAATAAATAAATATGTTATACCTCGGATGGTGGTATTAAAATGGAATGATGTCCACTGTATATACTGCTTAAACACCATAAAGCAAATCCAAGACCGGAATAAGGATCTAAACAGAGAGCAATATGTCTTGAAGGATACAATTCGCATGCGAGTTTCATAGCACGGCATAAAGACGTTACTGCCGCGTGTGACATTTTAATTCCTGCCAACATGCCAGTAGTTGACACACTAAAATCCAAATATGCCAACATTTCCGCAGTAGGTGCTCGATACATAACGGGAAGTTTCTTCTTTGGCATGTCATCCATATCAAGAATCGTTGGCCAAGTTTTAACTTCGATAACATTATTAGCTTCCTAATTAAACACAACACAACAAGACCCAATTGAATTCTCATCATTTAAACTTTGTCATGTATGGAATAACAATTATAATTACCTTAGTTTTTAATAGTTTCATGATATTTTGATTGGTCAGTACGAGTACGGATTTACTGACATCAACAATCATGCGAACGGTTGGCAATGTTGTTTGCAAATTTTGTGGATGTGGGGGCCTGATCGTAACAGGTACAGCACCGACGTAAAGACAACCATAAAATGCGCATATCAAATCTGTCCCAGGTGGAAATAATAATGCTACGTGATCACCGGTGTTTATTCTTCCACGATCCAATAAAAGATTCCCAATGCGTTCGGCTTTCTTGTGAAGTTGTAAACATGACAATGAAGTGGCCACTGCTCCTTTGGCATTTAGGGATGTAAATATTACGTGATCGGATGTACTAACTGCACGCCAACGTAGAATCTCTGAGATGAATTGATACTATAAACAAAATCATGATGAATTAATGAGTTGTGAATAAGTTTAATAATCTTAAATGATATCTAAATATAAAAACCTTTTTAGCATTATCACTGTCCTCGTCTAAAACACCCATGTCACGTCCTTGAGCAGATGCCAGTCTATTTCCTTGAACGATGTTGCCAACCATCACGCTCGCGGGACCAACGTCTGCAACAGAATCCCCCGCTACACGCCCCCGCACCATTCCGTTAGTAAACCAACACAAACACTCAACCCGGTAAATGAGTAGCTCACACACTCTCCCCTGACTGAGGCCGGAAAATCAAAGCTAGGATCAAAGATTCGTTGCTGTTGAGAGCACCTAGAGTAACACGTTCTATTTTTCTGTGGTTGGAGAGCATTCCATTCGAGGCAGCAGGAAACGTAGTTCAAAACTGTTTGCTTATCAACCAATATATATAAGTTTTTTTTTTTTTTAAATAGCGATGTGAAAATTAATATTACGGTGTGTTTTATGTATATTAAAAATACGTGTAATGTTACTACTGTAATGTAGTAATAATAATAAGTATAATAAAAGTATGCAGTGTCGTTGTTTCATTCATTGAAAAAGCAACAAGCTATTTGTTTACAAATTATAAAATGTTTAATGTTTATTTAACTTTTTCTTTGCAATTTTTCCCATCGCTATATATACGTGTTTGTACTATAGGTTCTGGACAATGCTACAGGATATTCGGAACTCAGCCAAAAGAAAGAAGGGCAACACAAACTAGAATAAATACATGCGAAGCACAGATAATCAGGAATAAGTAATAAAAAAGAAAAATAAGTACGTAAATATGTACAGCAAATGAATGTTATTAACTTTAGCAGAAAATCTGTGCCAGAAACAAACGTTTGAAATTATTCATGAAAGCGTAGCAGCCTTGTGTGGTGCCAATTAAAATATAAAAAAAAAAAGATAGGACTTGATCCGTGTGATCTTTTAAATATATATAATAAAAATATATTCTATAGCTCATTCTCTCTCATTATTCACTCTCGTATGTAACATGTTACGCGAATGATTCAAAAAAACAATAGAATACAATCCTTTTTTTTTTATATAACGTAATACCTAACCTCAACACGTTTACGTTTAACAAATGTGTTTGTACATTTATTCGCGTGTTTTTTTGAATCACTGCATGCGTCATTGTAAAAAGAAAAAAGAAAAAGATTATGAGACATTGAAACTTGCCTATTATAATACCTATGTGTTTTTTTCATTAGTATATCTCCTCTACACTTTACAGGTACAGCCGCTCGTGCGTTTGAACGCGCCTGCATTTGTTAAAGTATACGGCGTTTTATTTATTTGCTTTATCAGATAAACCACTTACCCGAATGGACTTCACGCGGTTTTGGTAAGTTGGTAACACAAGTATGTGGGCAGAGCAGAACGTTAGCTGGATGTAGTGCACCTTCTAGAAAACGTCTTTTGGTTTCTGATAGGTGAATACCCCCAAGTGGTGTTTTTGGTAGATAATTAGGTGGTACTAATGCAAGACAATAAATCCCAACTGCATGGATAGAATCAACTGCTTGCAAAACACGTGACATCCATTGAAAACTCTAAATATAAATGCAAATACAAATACAAATCAATTGAAATGAAATCAAATTATAAATGAATAATAAAAATATGTTTACCTCTTCCTCGCTACAATCTGGCCGTTGTTCAGCAACAACGCATATCCTTTCATCTCTCAAAACTCTAACACTGAATACAGCAATTCTACCACGATAAATAAATTTCATTGGTTCTACCGCCAATACGGTAGCAATAATATCGTCCGCATTATGTTTCCTTCCTGTCACTGTCATAAGACCATCGCGAGATCCACAAACGAATACCAAACCACCAGGACCAAGAAATCCTAATAAACCCGATCGTGTATATTCCACGTCCCCTAATGGTGTACTATCCGCTTGTAATGGTGATACTTTGAAAGTATTATTTGTTAATCCTTGAAGTCCCCAATATTGACTACCAGTAGCAGAACTATGTACGCATATTTCACCAACCTCGTCGGTTTTACAAATATATGGTTTTCCTTCCATCTTAACTACCACTACAATACCTGTATAATAAAAAAAAAAAAAAAAGGAAAAAAAAGAAAGGAAGAAAGAAAGAAAAAAGAGAGAAGTATTAAATAATATTAATAATATGATTAAATATATTAAAGATGATAACTTACTTCCTGGCATAACTTGACCACAATCTTGTAACGTAAGTGAAGTCAATGAATTTTCTTGATCTACCCTAACAACGCCATAACTTAATCCTGACATAGAAAGTACACCACGTCCGGTAGCATTAACTCCTGCACGACCAGGTCTTCTTACAGATACCGTAAGTGCTTCGCTAGATGATGCACAAGGACATACAGCATCCGGTCTAAGACCCTTCGATTGAAACACAGAAAGAAATTGATCACAGGAGGATAGGGACCAAGGATTGGCACCGTCAGCGACTAGTAACAACCTCAACGAGGATAATGATATATCCTTGTGATCTTTAGTTGCTAATAAACCCCAATGAAGATCTCGTGATTTAACTACTGCAACACTGGCACGATATTTCGTAATCATTTGCATCCAACTAGCTGGATTTACCTTCATCAAGGCATACGGTATAAATATAACGTGCATCCCATTTAATACGCTAGTCAAAGTGCTATGCCAGAGGCCAACTTCCCGTTTAAAATCTAACACACAAACGGCATTTTCTCCTTCGGTATAACCGCACGCTTGTGTTAGTGCACGACAATGAGCAAGCATGGCTGATCTCGTAACCGTAACACCCATCACCGATCCATCCTTCACTGTTGTATATTCGATGTATGCTGGTGTATCGTCGGTTAAACGAGGAGGTGGTAACCAATCTTTAGGAGTTTTACCTAAATGTTCTGTAACGAACCAATGTAATTTTGGCCAACCCTTGAATGCTACTACTTCACCAGCTGCTGTCTTTGGTAAACCTTTGAGACAAGCCTCGCTGGTTAGGGCAACCTGATTAATATCAAATCAATTAATAAATCATTATAATGTTTAATTTATACCTTATATTATTTAATTATATTTACCTGAATTTCGCAACTACCAAGAAGAAAACCAATCTGTTGTGAACCTGCATCTCGACGTGTCAATGGTACTTCTATGGGTACAGGCACTATACCAGCTTGAAGACAACCATAAAATGCACACATGAAACTGATAGGATCGTTGTTAGGATATACCAATGCGATTCTATCTCCAGGCTTGAGACAACAATCGCCACCACGACTTAGTGCCTTGTTTAATAGTGTATAAGCTATTTTATGGGAACGACTTAAAAGTTTTCCATATGTCAAGGTGATGCAAAGTTTACCATTGGGATCTAATACAGTTGCAACTGGTGCTTTGTAACTTGCCGAGCCATACCTTTAACAAAAATTATATTTTATTGTTTAATTAAATGTAATAAATGGTGACACATGTAAATATATATATATAGTATTTGAAATAATCTCTATTCTTTATAAAACATATTCCCTTGAACGAACGGATATGATTCATCTTCCTACTCTGATAGTCATTATAATAAGGAAATTGTATATGTAGGACAAATATTATATACATCAAACATTTTATATAATATATATAATATATATAAATTATCGAACCTTTGTATAGCAGCTTCCAATGATCTGGGTAACCCCGATGGCACCGACAGTTGTTCACCGATAGCTGACGTCATTGAACCACCTTCCGGTTTAGGTGCATTAGGATCTTTAGGATTAGCAGCTATTTCCAATTCAATATCGTCGTCTTCATAAAATTCTGGCAATGGTCTTCTCTTTGGCCGTTTTAATGTGTTCAATAATTGTTGAATTTTTGCTGACACTTTCCAACGTCCTGTTGTTCCTGTATTATTTTGATCCTCAACTACGTGGTAACGATTGACACGATCGGCACCAGGCCGTCTAGTCGACTGCTGTGCTGTTGGCGTACTGCCCGTATGCGTTACGTCCGGTGGTTGTATATTACAGTAAGCATGAGGCGTATATTCGGCGATGTCAGTAATGTCAGCACCAGGTGGCCTTCTAGCTGGTGGTCTTGGTGGTGGTGGTGTGTCACGTGCTGATCCCGTACTGCTAGTGTCTGATAACCCAGTACCTAATTTTTAACATTTTCTTTTTTTTTTTGTTTTTTCTTTTCATAATCTTTAAGTTCTTAATATTATTATATTTTGTATTTTATTTTTGTTTTATTTTTAAAGATAATTAGAAGCTCATATAAATTTATATCCATTTAAATATTGTACTGTCACATTTAATGTTCACATTTTAATGAAAATGGAGTTTTGTGTGGGACTAGTTTATTTGATGATGGATTCAAACTTTGCAAATGATAATGATCATTAATATTAATTTATAATATAATATAAATAAATATATCTTTGTTTAATTGTCAACTTTTGACAGATATTCATAGAAATATTCTAATCAATTAAAGTGTTCTTAAACACTTGATGTTTCAAATTCAAATACTTAACCTCTTCGCAATAAAACAATGTACTACGTTAATCATGTTACTAGAGATTACCATACAATATAATAATAAATTGAAATTTAATTGTATAACTTTTTAATATATTGAAAGAATTAAAATATAATTACACAAATGTACTGCGTGAATCATGGTAACAACATTTACCATACAATATAATAATAATAAATTAAAATGTAATTGTAAAACTTTCGAATATTGAAAGAATCAAAATATGATTACACAAATGTACTACGTGAATCATGTTACTAAAGATTACCACATACAATCTAATAATAAATTATTATAAAATTTAACTGTAGAAGTTTCTAATGTTGAAATAATCAAAATATAATTACACAATTGTTGATATTTAAAATGATAATAATAAAATGTATAAATTGTTTATGATTAAATTCTACCACAAAGATCAATAAAACAATGTACTACGTTAGTCAAGTTACTAAAGATTACCATATAACATAATAATAAATTAAAATTTAACTGTAAAACCTTCTAATATTGAAAGAATCCAAATATAATGACACAATTATTGATATTTAAACTAATAATAATGAAATATATAAATTGTTAATGATTAAATCTTATCACAAAGAGGTTAAATAATTAAATCTAAATTTGAAAATAGTTTTATAATGAAATACAAATACAGGAATATGAATATATAAATAAATTATTATATTAATATAATAAATAATTATACCGGTTGGACCACCAGCACCAGGACTTTCTTCTGTTACGACACTATCCTCATCACTGCTTGATTCCCCGCTGTCACGACGTTCACGTTCAGGACTCCTAGCCATGACCGAAGTCCTCTTTGATGGCATTGGTAAGGAAGGTTTTGGTCGACCTTGCATGGCTGCCAATGCTTGTTGCACAGCCTCCTGACGTACCTCTGAACATTTCCAATACAATTAACAACATAAAACATTGTTCATTCTTTATCTCATAATTATAATCAAGTATTATAATTAATCAAGTATTATTAACTAGTTGATAAAATAAATAAACTCATACACAGACACACACACACACAAACACACAACACACACACATTTTCAATCAATGTTTGAGATTGTTCTTTTATTATTATTATTATTATTAAAATTGAGTGAACTAACATTTGAGCAAACTAATTGCAACATTTTTTTTTGCAAAAGCGTTATATATATATATATATATATATATATTTTATTTAAATGTATTAAATATAGAGGATGAATTTTTTAAAATTTGAGGTTAAGTATAAAAACATATAATAATAATAATAATAATGAAATAAATAGTATACTAAATTTTAAAATGTTCACCCTTCTATATATTAAATATTAAAACTAATAAATTCTAATATTAATTTAGCTAATATTATTAAACAAATTCTATATTGTTTTAAATAATATAAATTAAAATAAAAAAGAAAAGAAAAGAAATGAAAAATAATTAAAATAAAATAAATTAAAATAACAAATACTTAAATATTATCAAAATGCAATAATACACACCCATATATATATATATATATACAATATAATATAATTAAATCCTACTACGAAGATCAATAAAACAATGTACTACATTAATCATGTTATATATTTAATATAATAAATATATATTAAAAAATTAATTAAAAAAAAAAAAAAAAAACCAACTAAAAAATAAACATAAGGGGTAGAAAATGTATTTCCGGGTAAAAGCATGCAAAAGTATTATATCGTTTATTACATCATGCAACATTGGTAAACGTGGTTCGTTACAAAGTGCACTTATGCATTTTACGTACGCATACGCGTAAAAATACGTACACACAAGGAAGAATATTCTTTTGATAAAAATTCATACGGTAGGTTTGTTAATATATATATGTGTGTGTGTGTATATAATATATGTATTCTTCATCGAGGTATGCGCGAGCGAGAGAATACACACACTTGCATGCACGCGTATATTTCCATGCCGGACGTTTTTCTCTTTCGTTTTTTCTTTTTTTTTTCATGGACGGATACCAGAGTTATCTTCTACGAACCTAAGTCCGTTCATTTCGTTTGCTAACGGTGCACCAGGTGCAGGATTACTTATATACGATATATATATCATTACCATCATCATCATAGTTATCATCATCATTATCATCTTGTGAAAACATAGCAGAGACCTCATTTTGAGTTTTATTTTGTTCTCTCTCTTTTACAATTTTTTTTTTAATTATTTTTATTTATTAACATTTGTATTATTAATGTTGACGAATTATTTGTAAATTTTCTTTTGAATATTATACACGTATTTATGCAGTAATTGCAATACCAATGTTAATATTTAATGTTGATTATTTATTTGTAGATGTTTTTTTTTTAAATATTGTACACTTATGCAGTCATTGCAATACTAATTTTAATATTTAATGTTGATCATTTATCTGTAAATATTTTTTTTGAGTATTATACACTTATACAGCAATTGCAAAACTAACC